AGAAGTATGGTACAACAATAGCAAAATTGCACAAAAGTTAGCACCTTTTTGCATTCCTTGCCGCGTGGTGCTATCCTTCTTATATGGACCGATACTTAAGTGCCAAAGTCAGGTAACGACAGATATCAGGCTCGATTACCAGCGGCTATCTTTAAAACGGGGAACGGTGAACTGGAAACGGGGAATCTTTAAAAAGGGGAATCTCGAAAACGGGGAATCTTTAAAATGGGGAATCTTTAAAGCGAGAATTTTTTAAATGGGGAATCGTTAAAAGCGGAAATTTCTTGACGACTACTGTGTAGACTTTCCAGGCCGAATCTCCGTCCTTGTTCCTGGTGTATTTTGTGATAAAAACTGCTCCATATGACCCTTGCCCTATCACATTTTGTTCACCGAGATCATTTCACTTTTAAAACTGTGGACTCGGAAGATCTTCAAAGCGACCGATTCTTTTTTCTTTAAAGTGAATGCAATTGTCCTCTAAGTCAGATAGCGTATAATATTGTCATGGAATAGTAAATTCTCCTCAACTCTTAACTTAAAAAGTAAGTTAATACATATTACGTCACAGAACACCGCAGCCACATCGTTCAGTCATCTAATTACTGTATTTCTGGTTTTCAGTGTCACGCCATTCAAAATAGATCAAAGATCGCCAAGATTCAGGTCACAGCAATTTTTCTTATGCAAGATATGCGGAGAAATTTTTTACCCAAGTTTAAAGAGATTTGTATGGAGACGCCATGCTGGTATCCGCATGGGCACCAACACGGCGGCCGGAAACCAACAGTAACATCTGTCACTAAGTTTTGTTAAAAAAGCGTAAATTTATCACTCAAGGAACTCAAGAAACATTAAATAATATTTTTTTCTAATACATGAACTGTTCAGGTAGCCAAATTCCCCGAAATAAGTCAACATGACAGCTCTCTCGGCCGTCATGTAAATGCCGTGTCACGCAAAAGCGTAGTCTATCGCAAAACCAAGAACCCACTCGGAGCGAAAATTTGTACGAATATAAGTTTTCAGCTGCCCTTATACACCATCAAAGTAAATTTTAAAGATTTTAAAGATTCCCACTTTTAAAGATTCCCCGTTCCCCGTTCCCCGTTCCCATTCTCCGATTTCTCGTTCATCGCCTAGAAATTAGACTTATCAATAAAAGAAGAACTTCTTTCTACAAGCCAAGATGACTTACTGGGCTGTCCCGTAAGCTTCATATGGCGGCTATTTTACTACCCTTAAATAGGATGCTATTCTAATGCTAGGCTATAGCAAGTTACGCCACCACCTTTTCTAAAGGTTGCCTTTAGTGTTTCTGGTGACCATTTATATTCGTCACACCGTCACATTCTTTAACAAATATCTAATAGTGCAAAACGAGCCTCAGCAGGGCGCGACACGGTTACCACGCTTTTACTCAGAAACCAAAATATTTTGAGCATTGTCATCGATATATTTACCCAGTTACATGCCAAAAACAGCCGTTTTTACCACCAGCTGCTGACTGTTTTTTATTTGTATGAAGACACAAGCCTTAGTTTTAAAGGCCTACTGCAGATTACTGTACAAGACATACATTAATTCTGGGATGTATGCATACATCACAGTGTGATAGTATTAGGAAAAATTACCCCAGAATCTAAACATAGGCAGTGCTCTATTATAGAAATATTAATTTCTCAAACTGAACCTTTGATCATATCTCAGTGTGCGATTTATTAAAGGTAATAAGTGTATGATGAAGGGCATCTTTTGGAAAAGAACTTTTACAAATGTTTACAAACTGTGAAACTGAAACTTGGACTGCAGACGCCACGCGGTTGTCGATATCAAGGAAAACGAAAACATCAGACAGTTTTCAGGTTGACGTATGTTGACGGGCTCCAGTTCAAATTGTCCAGCTTAAATGAATTACTTTCTTGCTCCGATGTCCCAAACTTGTTCCACAAAAGACCACGTGGGGGCACATCCCGAAATTGATTGGGATACCTGACGGATTGAATTCAACACGTTTTAGCTGGTAGGTGGCTCAAATCTAGTCTCTTTTCGGCTGGAAACGACTTAGCTCAGCGGCGTCTGGATCAAGATCATGTGCGGCGGCGGGAGGCTATTTTCCTTTGTCCCTTCTCGGTTCTCTCTTCCCCTCTCACTCTTTGAGTCTCTCTACTCCAGTCCCCTACTAGTCAGAGCTTGTGGATTATATTTAGTGGTCGATAGAACGAATCCGCGCTATTTTCTTTTCTAGAAATTTATTCTCAGAGTACGAACTCATATCGTGCAGTATCACTTGCAGTAAAACCCTGAAGCCTTTCATGTCTCACAGAACCATAAGGACTAATGGCGAGATGAAAATGTATTGTGGGTGACCATAATGCTTTTAACTAGAGATCAGCGACACGATGGTTGTAATTTTCACGTCTATGGATACCTTAGTGTGTGACCATTCAAATGAAAGCACTGAGCAGTACTTTCATGTGGTACTGTTTATTATGCTGTACAAGGTGGTTCTAACTTTTAAGTCCGTGGATGAAACCCTAGAGTGTGACAATTCCAGTGAAAGCTATTGAGCAGTACTTTCATGAGGTATTGTTAATCATGCTGTACAAGGTGGTTCTAAGCTTTCAAGTCTGTGGACAAAACCCTAGTGTGTGGCCATCTTAATGGAAGCTGTTGAGCAGTTTTTTGTTTTGTTTTTGTTTTTGTTTTTTTTCATGTGTACTGTTTATTATGCTGTACAAGGAGGTTGACTTTGTTGTCTGTCGCTACAACCTTACCGTGTGAAAGCTATTTTCATACTCTTGTCTGGGATATTTTTGTATGTTGTATTGACACTGGTGGGAGTGACTCTGTCTGAGTGTTTTTTCTTTAGATGTTCCGCTTCCGCCGCTTATTTGGCATCAAAAACCTCGGACACCGCAGAGTGCATGTGCAAAATTTACTTGGTCAGCACTTTCGTTTTCTATTATAACCCTCCTGTTCTATTTGTATGCAAAACTGAACAAAGTCGTCCTTTAATTTAGGAAAACAACAGGTGTGTCACACTTGGCTGAGCCCGATGTTCGATTTATCTTTATTGCACAAAGGGAGACATGTGCTTTTTGTCAGTTTTATTTCTGTCTAAAACGGATGCGACGAACCATGTGCATGAATTATACCAACATGTAAAACCGCAATAAAAGAACTGAGTGTTCGACATACTCAAGACCTGCTACTGATTTCGATTGTTTACAGCAACATTATTTTAAGACATTTTAGAATATGTAAGAAGAATTGGTCTAAAATTCAGACCAAATATCATGGAGATGTTTTCAAACTAAGATTCCTACTGGGAAGATAATATTCAATGTTCATTGGCCTTTAGCATATGCATCCGCCGGCGCCTTGCCGGCTATCATGTGGGTCGACGTTTCAAAGCGCTTTATAACCTCGACTACCACCCGCTGTTCGGGAAGGGAGCACGCGCTCCTCTGTAGAGTGGACTCGCGAGAGCGCCGCTCAAATCGAGCCCAACAAGCACTGTATTTAAGGCTACGGGCAGATTTCCTTTAGACGGAGAAACAGTAAAATAGTAGACGTCTATACGCCCCTCTACGCAGGCTATATATGTAGAGGTTTTCAGAGTAAACCAGTTACTAAAGGACAAATTCTTGAGCCGAGAGTGATACTTTACAGTTAAATTGAAAAATGAAGGACAAGGAAGAGCAAAGAAGAGTGATGTTTCACAGCTAGAATCAAAGTGCAATTGACGGGCATGAACGACAAAGAAAATGACTGAAATTACAGAAATTGTTACTGGTAACTTTCAAAACCGAATTCACTGTTGACCCTGGTGTTATCTTGTTTTGAACACCTGCACCGCATGCTGTCTCCAGGTGCTGTCTCAAGTTGTAGGCGTGTCTTGCACAGGAGCCCGGGGGGTACTTTGACCTATGTCTGGGTATAGGGGTGCCGCTGAGGGTTTGAAATCCTGACCCTGTTTAGGAAAAAATACTCTAAAGATAAGGTCTCGGGTAAACGCTGCCGTCACCGTAAGTTTGGTCGGATTGATTGAGGCTAAAAATCGGGTTTGCAGTTGCTTTTCCCCGAACTTTCGTTCTTGGACAGGAAAGAGCCTTAGCTCCAGGTTCTGGGCTCGAGAATGCCATCAGTACTAAAATAATGCTTCTAAACTTCTTTGACTTCGCGTATGTTACGTATCCAGGAATTTTTATGTTCCTCAACCCAGGGCTCCAGTTTTCCCAGTGAATAGCTCGAGACCATAGGCTTCTCCCATCTCTCCTAATTTCATTCGTACCATTCCCTTCTCCTTAATTTATGAATTGAAAGGAATTGAAAGGAAGGCTTATTTCAAAACATTTTCAAGGTGTTTCCTCGTTTTATCATTCCGAATGTAGCAAGATTATTTTAGTTCATCAAGGATTGTAGCAAGCCCAAGCCTAGCTTAAACTCTGGCTATCAGAAGGTAACGAAATCATGTGATAATGTAAGTTGTTTCACAAGGTGATCTTTCGACTTTGATCGGCCTTCATATTCAAATCTTTAGTTAATGTTCATTCGGCTTACTTTTCGCTTTTTTTGTTTTTTTCACGAACGACTCCCTCCCTTTTATTCGACTTTCTCTGTTGTGTTGTGTTATAGTTTCTTGTCAGTGAATGTGAACATTATATATGCTTAGTTAAATCCATTCTGATCTTAACAATAAATGGAAATTTTCAGCCGGTATTTATGTTGGTTTTGTGTCGGTAAATCGCTAGCCGTATTTTTACACTGTTTTCTCTTTGATTTGCTGGCGCATTAATTATTGATCGAAGGGAAACAAGACATAGGAAAAAACGCTCATCACTAAATTTCGTTGAGAGCAGATATCTTTTACGACATGATTTCTTTAGTCGATCGACGAAACGAGCTCGCTGTCGTCTGAAACACAATCTAACATCTGTCTCTTTGTCTTGATCAGGCAGCATATATAATATCTGATCGTTTTCTCGATTATTTATTTTATTATTTTTTTTTTTTGATAAGCCCATCATTTTCGCAACTGGCTCTCTTTTCATTTCGCCTGGCGTTTCCGTGCTCTTTCGGATTCGCGGAATTATTTCAATCGTTTCTCGTTTAGTTGTCTTCTGTTTCGTGTTTGCGGATGTATATATTAATTCTACATACGCTTTTGGTTTGATTTTCCTTTGCCTCGTACAAGATCCTTAAAAATTTAGTAAGCATTAGGAAAACTTTTCGACGCTGTTCTACTCACTTAATAAAATAACATTTCATCTGGAAACACCGAATTTTGACCGGTTTATGCATCGAGCATTGCCTTTCGTACTGACATGCTCAAAAACAGTAAGGCCATCCCCTCTTTTTTCTCTGTTTAGCGTCGTCCAACCGACCCAGATTTTCGCGTTTTCAAAAAAAAAAAAAATAGAAAAGAAAAGTTACACAGAAGGCAATGACACATTATTTCAAACAATTGTCACTTTAATCTGAACATAAGCACTTTTTTGCCTTACAGATTTTCAGTTTTTCCCCGTTCTCGTTTGATTTTAACAGCGACGTCGACTTTTTCCTTCCTCCATTACCGCGATGTTGACTTTGTAACCACATCTTGTTGTTTCCAGGCTCCACGGATATTATGCTGAGGTACAGGGCCTCCTAGCTCCAGACTCCTTTTGCAATTTTATTTTTGTTTTTTGTTTCCTTTTCCGACCGACCGACCCAAAATTAGAAAACGCATTCGACAATAAACGAAAAAAAAAGGGGATGGATTAAATCACTATTTTCAGTCCCAAGTCAGAAAGCGCAGCAGGACACTACCGAAAACGTATAGAGCAGAATAATTTCAACACTTTCTTGGTTACTTTGGGACAAAAACCATATTATAAATCCAGTGCTCGAACCACTAGGCCAGGCCGCCTCCACTATGTAACCCCACCCCATCCTACCCCGTGCTGTGATCACTCTGGAGCGCAAGGCCATCTCAAGGCGTTCTGATGCATATGGTCCCAGATCTCGCAGTTGCCGGCTGATCGAATTCAAACTGGTCTCAGTTGCCGGACTATTCGGAAGCCAGATAAAATCAGTCGGCTGTATACGTTAAATTGCGGTGATACATTGTCTCCTTTTATTCTTATCTATTAATACGTTTATATGTTTAGTTTTGGTTAGTTATATATTAGTTTTTCAAAATCTAGCTCATTTCTCCTAGATTTGCTTTTGTTTGATCTTAATAGAGGACCCTTCTGAAAGCCACTTTGTGACGTAGGCCTCCTCATTAAAGAATATATTATTATTTTTATTAGTAGTAGTAGTAGTAGTAGTAGTAGTAGTAGCAGTAGCAGTAGCAGTAGCAGTAGCAGTAGCAG